CCCTCTGGAAGGAGGTTAAGGAGCATTAAGTGTAGAACCACTAGACTGAGGAACAGCTTCTATCCTGAGGTTGTTAAACTCATGAATCTCTAACCAGAACAATCAGCGTGAAAAAAAAAAATCACATCATGTTGCTGCCGATCTGTTTCATGTTGCTGTGTTCATTTGTACTCATCTGCTCACACAGACTCATGTTTGTGCTGCTGTTCGGCATATTGTTTTTATGTTATTAGTGCTTAGCGTATTTTTAGTTTATGTTTTTCTTAGTTCATGTCTTAGATCTTATTACTGTTTATGTCTTAGATCTTATTACTGTTTTTCTTTTACATTTTATTGTTGGATGTAACTGGGACCCGGAGTACACAATCTCGTTCCACCACATGTACCACATGTGGTGCAAATGACAAATATAGAAACTCTGAAATCTGAACAGCAAAGTCCATGCTCAATAATCCAGGTATATAATCCAACATTTTTCAGTCAGTTCATCTGGACAGTTTCTTTTCTTTGTTCTGAAACATTTCGCCTTCGATCCAGAAGGCTTCATCAGTCAAGGAAGCACACAACACAAAACTGATTCTTCCCCCAACAGCTTACTCCAAAGTGGAACAAACCAGTTTGCTTAGTGCTAGATGGTCTGTTTGGTACACCCCCTCCTCCATTGCCGGCCCTCTTCCTTGTTGACAGTCATGTCAAACTGGTTGAAAACAACAAAGTCCATGCTCAATAATCCAGGTATACAATCCAATATTTTTCAGTCAGGTCATCTGGACAGTTTCTTTTTTTTGTGCTGAAACGTTTCGCCTTCGATCTGGAAGGCTTCATCAGTCAAGGAAACACACGTGTGCCTGGGAATGGACTCCAAACTCTGTTTGGTTTGGGTTAAGGCTCGGCTTTGGCCGCGCTTGATTATTTTAAATAAACAATCCATTCTGCTCACTTTGGCATCTGCCTTACTGAAGCTCCCACAGCAGCAAAGAGGAAAGACAGACCCCCACCCCCCGCCCCCTTGGCGATCAATTAGAGGCCAGGCCACCGAGAAACAATGTGTACAATCTAATGTTGAAAACCCGTGAAAGAGTGAGTCCGTGAAAGTCAAACTACGAAGTACTGTATTTATATATTGAAGAAAACCAAGTACAGTATTTTTTCCTTGAAAAAAATTTGCTTTTAACCTTTTTTTAAAGTAATCTTCAAACGTGTATTTTATTGCAATCACAAAAAGAGAAAGATTTCAGTTGAAGCTTATGAAGCAATTCAAAACTAAGCAATAATTACATAAACATTTCAGTTCAGCTTTAACTGGTTTAAAACTCATCTATAACGCCGGTGATCAGAGTGCTTTCCTGTCTTTCACCACAAGTGCTTTTAGCTGATTGAGCCTCAGGAATGATTGTGTGCAACATGAACGAAAGAGTAGATTTTATGTACTTAATTTCAAATTTTCCATGCTCCACATTGTAACATTTAAAACTTCACAATGAAAGTTTATCATTTAGGCATGAGTATTCATAAACTGCACTATAGCCAAGCCCCACGATAAAGCAATGTAAGATGAGATACAATGAAAGTTTAATGAGCTCCATGAAGGAACTGGAATGCTGCAGCACCAAATATTGATAGGATATAAAAGGAACATCCTGAAATATGCTGTCTTCAACACTAAGCATCATTTCCAGGACGGTAAAGGCTGTATTTTAAACACTTGCAGCAAAAAATGATCAGAAACAGGGTCTTGTTTTTCTTGTTTGGCAGCAATGTGTAATGCCAACATGCTGTTTGAAACCCCTTATTTCGAACAGCACTTTTTCCACAGACACGTTTAGCTGGACTTGGATAAAGTTGCTTAGTCATGCTGACAAGAGAAGGAAGGAGAAAAGAAAAGCTATGATCTACAGTTACAGTCTCAGTTGAACCAAATGTGCAGACAGGGTCATTGTTTGTTGAACCCCTGAGATGTGACTGAATCGTTGACTTAAAACAGTTAGCTTCAGCTCTATGGTGCCTACAAATGCCACAAAACTAAAATGCAAGGCACATTACCCAGCACGGCAAAATAATTGAATTATCTAACATATGTATTACACATACGGTACATTTTTTTTTGTTGTCAGTAGAGCTGCATCTTCAAACTATAAGCCTGAAACTTCTCCAGAGTCAGAACCGAAGAACACTTTCAGGTGTGAAAAAAGATTTTTTTAAGAAACAACAGAAGTTTAGTTGCATCTATTCAAGAATTTAGGATTGACATGAGCTGCAAAACATAAAAACTACTCTGATGCAGTTGAAGGACAATATGCATTACAGATGCATCAGTAGATCTACATTTCCAAACTATATGTCAGAAACTCCTCCAGAGTCAGAACCGAAGACCACTTTCAGATGTGAAAGAACAATTTATTTAAGAAATAAAAGAAGTTTATTTGCATCTATTCAATAATTTATAATTTGCTATGAGCTGCAAAACATAAAATTGTCAGTAGATCTACATTTCCAAACTATGTCTGAAACTCCTCCAGAGTCAGAACCAAAAGATTTGTTGTTGAATTTTTGTTGTTGTTGTTACATTGTCAGTAGATCTACAATAGGTAATAATCCTATACGAACCACTTCAATCTCATTTACCAGAATCAAAAGAAAGCCTAAAAAAGTCATCATATCCCACCCATTTATGTCAGGGTATTGACATCCCTGCTTCTATTGAAAGGGATTATGTGACTTAAGTCTGCATGTTTGGCATGCCTGAAGAATTGTTCCACTTGGATGGAAGCTGATCTTGCTTTGCCAGTCAGCTCCATGTGACTCCTTCCCTCACAGATAATCCTATGAAAAAGACAGCTCTTTAATGTCTCACATCCCAAACGCAGCTCTCTCAATTCCCTCAATCAGAGTCAACAACGATGGAGCCATTTTGTGTCCCACTATAAAACTGTCTTCCACATGTCCATAAAGATGTGCCAACGTTAATCAGATTTCAATTTGATCAGTTAAATAAAGCGTTTCTGATTAGAAACATGGCTTTATAATAGACATGAAAGATGGTTACCAAAATAGTTCAGATTAGATTTATGTTTGATCTTTTAAAATATGAATCTAATTTATTTGTCTTTCAGTGCAGGAAGGGTTAAATAAAGATGCTATACAGGTTTCTTTTGATCTTTAGACACATAAAAGCTGCAGATTTCCATTAAGATAAATTGGACAATGCTGGCTGAAAGGTCACAAAAATCACTGCTGTGGCGTTTCATGAAAAGAAAAAGAAAACATTGATTTTTTTTGACAAGAAACCCATTTCTCATGTACTATAACAGGG